AGCCCAGGAGTTGGAGGTTGCTGTGAGCTGTGATGCCACAGCACTCTACCCAGGGTGACAGCTTGAGGCTCTGTCTCAAAAAATAAATAAATAAAATAAAGTTTTCCTATAAATAAATTCCATAGCCTAAAACTTGGTATTCCTTAAGTTATAGGAATTCTTTGCAAATTAATGACTAATGTTCAATCATTCGGTGATATATCAGGCATGGTGACTATAGTCTGGAAAACAGATAACATAGTTACAGCCCAGTACATATGTGTAATGATAGAGTGAACATAAGAGACAAGGTTAGGGCACTCAGCCCAGTCTTAAGGGATCGTAAGAAGGTATTAATCACCAAGTAATGTCCCTGAGAAAGAGGAGAAAGCCAAGTGTTGAGCAACACAGTGTACTAAAGGACTGTAGACACTGTCCTAGGAGGGGAACAAGTGAAACGTGCACAGCACTTTACCATATCCATGGCAACCAAGTCCATAAAAGGGTTTTAAACAGAGGCACAGAAAGATTAGATAGGAGTAGAAAATGAATTGAAGCAAATCAGTGACATTTTGATGGACATTTCATGGTGGCTACTTTAAAAACTTTAATAGAAGTTTGGTCCACTATTGTATAGCAACAGCTATATCTTCCCATAAAGCTATATAAGAAAGGAAATGATTTACTGAAATCAGAGACTTATCAGACCTATTTTCTTGATTATACTTTTTACTTTGTCCTCCTCAGATTTAAGTAAGATTTTTTCTTCCTTCAAGTACCACTAAAACATAGAGGTGAAGAAGCCAGAAAGTTTGATGAAACGTCAATTAATCATTAAAATGAATGTCTTAGCCATCCTGTGGCTCACGCCTGTAATCCCAGCACCCTGGAAGGCCAAGGTGGGAGGATCCCTTGAGCTCAGGAGTTTGATACCAGCCTGAGCAAGAGCGAGACCCCATCTCTACTAAAAATAGAAAAATTAGCCAGGTGTAGTGGTACACATCTGTAGTCCCAGATAACTGGGAGACTGAGGCAGGAGGATTGCTTGAGTCCAGTGAGTTGCAGTGAGCTAGGGTGATAAACGAAGACTCTGTCAAAAAATAAAATAAAATCTTGGGTGGCACGTGTGGCAAGGGTGGCAGGTTCAAACCCCACCCCGGGCCAAACAGCAACAATAAAATAGGCGGGTGCTGTGGCAGGTGCCTTGTAGTCCCAGCTACTTGGGAGGCTGAGGCAAGAGCAAAGCCCAGGAGTTGGAGGTTGCTATGAGCTGTGATGCCACAGCACTCTACCAAGAGCGATAAAGTGAGACTCTGTCTCAAAATAAAATAAAATCTTAAGTATGACTTCACTGGCATATGGCTTTATTTGTGGCCATACCTGAACAGAAAAGACACCTTAAAGAAGGTGCCCATGTGTGCAGAATAGGTTGATACCCAGTGTCTCTACCTCCTAACTGGACAGAAGGGAAAAGGCCACGCCATGTTACACTTTTAATTAGAGGCTGCCTAAATGAGAAAACACTTATTACAAAGGAATCCCTTGGTGGTGCCTGTAGCTCAGTGGGTAAGGTCCTGGTCACATACACCATGGTTGGTGGGTTTGAACCCAGCCCTGGCCAGCTAAAATCAACAAAGACAACTCCAACAAAAATAGCCAGGTATTGTGGTAGGCGCCTCTAGTCCCAGCTACTTGGGAGGCTGAGGGAAGAGAATCGCTTAAGCCCAAGAGTTGGAGGTAGCTGTGAGCTGTGATGCTATAGCACTCTACCAAGGGCAACACAGTGAGACTCTGTCTCAAAAAAAGGTGGGGGGGGATATTCATAAAATTAACAGTGAAGTCATACAAAAATTGCCACCTGTTAGTAATAGAACCAGTCCCAAGATGTAAAGCTTAAGTTTAGTGTTTTTACTTTGTCCATTATAGAAAAGCAGAGAACTCCAGTCTCAACTTTACACCTTGGATTCCTTAATGACGCTAAGCTTTGGTTTATTTGAAGGAGTGAGATTAGATATCAAGCTCATGTGTTACAGCAGGAGATCACTGCAGGTGCTAACCATGATTCTCTCTTCCTGTTGTCAGTCACCTTGCAGCCGTGGCACACAGAACACTGCAAATAAAACACAGTCCTCCTGAAGTGTCTGGGGTATGTTACGTTAAAAATGTCTTCTGTACAGTCCCTAGCATCCTTAAACTAATATGAAATTTTTCTAAAATACTCTCTGTTCATCTACCACATTGTACTTGGTCCAGTAATAATTAGGCTATAATAATCAACGTTGGTTGGGCTGTAACAATCAACATTTCTACACTTTCCAACATGCTAACCTGCGAAACATTCATTTTCCTACGTCAGTGATAACACAATCACTCCCACTCCATGACCCCTCGCAAATGCCACGCTTAAGGACGCTAGGAATTTATCTTCCCACACCCACAGTAAACTCTAGGACACCTTGACATTTTGCTTCTACTTTAAATTATAAGAAACATTACTTTTAAAAGCATTCTCATTTATTATAACTAGCCTATTACTGAATTGAACATTAAATCATTCTTTTATTTTGTAGGCCAGACTTCATCTTTTCAAAGCTGTCCGTTCTGTCCTAGCAAATGGAATGAAACTGCTTGGAATAACACCTGTATGTAGGATGTAATTTCTAATTAAAGTGGCTTTTAAAATACTAAATGAATTGTAGTTACCTATTCTTAGATGCCTTACTGTTTAGAATGGACAGTTATTATTCTGTGGATGGACTATTATTCTATGTCAGAATCTATATTTTATTAAGAAGTGACTTTAGCTATTCCATCTTTACCCCTTAAGAAAATAACTAATCTAAATTTCCTTATGGTCAGTAGTACTTAAATAGACATTTGTAAAAGTAGGTTGAGTCTCAAAGCATTGAGGTCTAATAGGGCTAAAGGATCAGAGTTTAAACTCTGGCTTGAAGTTTATGCTAATGTGATTTTTATAGAAACTCTTAATACAACTGAGATGATCAAATAATCAATGAGGGGGGAAAAAAATCTCAGTTTTTCCTCTAATAGTGGCTAGTTCTTAATAAAATGTAAGGAACTTTTTGCCAACATATATCTGACAAATACTGCCAGAGAGAACAGACCTTATGCTTGCCCATTAGTTGACATATACCAATAGCCCTTATTATGGGAATTCAGGAACTGAATACATTTAAATAGCAAGGAATTACTTGTACAAACATTGTACTAAGATCTTTTTGTAAAATGTAGTTCATTATTAAACCATAATTTAAAAAGGAGTTTCTTCTTAGTCTTCTTCAATGTACCTGCATATTGGTATGGTATATTTTGTGTGACTAGATTAGGCTTAACATGAGCAGGGCTTAGGTAAACACGAGCAGAATCTGAGATGTTTCATTAGCATGACCCTCCTCATATGCCAGCATTTCCATTCAGGCTGACTGTAATTTATTCTAAATGCTAATAGAAGTCGTCTGAATACGGATGACAATCTATTTTTACAAATAGGCAAATTAGCATGACCCAAAGCTTCTCTACTGAGAATGAAAATCATTTTACATTAAGTATGATTCAACCTTCTTGGACCTAGAAAGGCCTCATCCATTCAGTCTCAATTTTAAGCAAATTAGATTCCAGACTACAAATTTCTCCACTAGTTTACATGTACATGTCCAATACCCCTGTTCACTTCTTTGGAGAAAATGTCCCCTTCCAAGATTGTAGCCTCCTGAGTATTTGAATCTTGACTAAAACAGGATAGGGACAGTAATGAGTATAGCCAGGAAGTAGTTCACTAAAATGAGTGCTCATTAATTCTTCCAATAGTTAGTCTTGCTCTGTTGTCCAGTCTGGGGTGCAGTGGCACAACCTTGAACTCCTGGGCTCAAGCCATCCTCCCAACTCAGCCTCCTACAGGTGTGTCCCTCCGTGCCTGGCTAAAATTCCTTTTTCTGCTTAACGCTTGACAGAGTTGGTTTGTAGCTACTTGCAACCAAAGAACCTTAACTGATACTATTATTTCACATATAGAAAGTAGCACAGGGTGGTGCCCGTCTCTCAGTGGGTAGAGTGCCGGCCACATACACTGAGGCTGGCAGGTTCGAACCCAGACCGAGCCAGCTAAAAAACAATAACAACAACAACAAAAAATCTTGGCATACTTGGGAAGCTAAGGCAAGAGAATCACTTACACTCAAGAGTTTGAGATTGCTGTGAGCTAGGACACCATGGCACTCTACCCAAGGTGACACCTTGAGACTCTCTCTGTCTTAAAAAAAAGAAAAGAAAATAGTGCGGAGACATTTAAAAAAGATAATTTTCTTCATCTTCGTGGTCATATCTATAATACAAAAAGTGATTAAACAGAATCCATATAAATAAATTAAGTTTATTGCTGAATTTCCCCATTAATATTAGAAATTTCTTTAGAAACACTAAAATTTCACAATTATTGAGAGCCTGTTTTAAAAGTTAAGCATACTTTTAAAAAAAAATACAAAAGTGACATTAGAAATCTGTTTGAAGAAAACTATATCATCTAACAGCAAAGGAATGTGAACTAGACAATGCACAGGTACAGAACTGAAAGAGTACTCAGCCACCACCCAGAAATCATCTTCTGAGGAATGGAATAGATTCAGTTTGTTTCTGAACTAGCCTGTCTTTCTCTTTTGTAGGAAAAGAGCCTAGGTCCTGCTGCTAGGACAAAATACTATACACGAACTGTAGAAAAGGAGGGGTTGACCCCTCCCGGTACCTGAACAAGAGAAATGGCTTTGGCACTTTAACCCTTAAACACTGTTACAGACCTTGATTATTGTAGCCTCACATGATTTTTTAAAACCATATCATCTCCCTACTTTTTATGTACACTTAATATATATACAGTAACAAAATTCCTTCATTCTGAAACAATAGCTTGACCCAAACAGTTCCACATTAAATCTCTGTATTAACACTTCACTTAGATAGTTTTCTTCTTAATTCTTATGCCATCAGCTAATTTGTTGGTATTTTGTTTAAGCTACCTTCTGGGATTGACTTAAGGCTCTAGTTTAATGCAAATTGTTTAGTCTTAGTAGAAATCTCACTTGAAGTTGACATCACACACCAATTACTCTCTCTTTTGAAGCTGTTTCTCCTTGTTGGATGGACGTAGTGTCTTGTCTGGGTAATCCATAGAGATATATAGACACACACACCAGAAGGGCGCCCAGAGCAAAAGTGAGTGCTGAAAAGAAAAAAACTTTATCTGTATTTGTTGTATTTGTATCTTTAAAACTCCATAATAATGATTAGTTTAAGATTTTAAAAACTTTAAATTATGTTTACACTGTCAGATTACATGAGAAATGAAGCTTAAGGCTCGGCACCTGTGGCTCAAGTGGCTAAGGCGCCAGCCACATACACCTAAGGTGGTGGGTTCGAATCCAGCCTGGGCCCACGAAACAACACTGATGGCTGCAACCAAAAAAAATAGCCAGGCGTTGTGGCAGGCGCCTGTGGTCCCAGCTACTTGGGAGGCTGAGGCAGGAGACTCGCTTGAGCCCAGGAGTTGGAGGTTGCTGTGAGCTGTGATGCCACGGCACTCTACCCAGGGTGACAGCTTGAGGCTCTGTCTCAAAAAAAAAAAAAATGAAATGAAGCTTAAATGTTCTGTTTTTATGATGGTAAATTTTAGAAGGGTCATCCATTCTAGCCAAAAAAAGTCATAAAATCAAGAAAGTATTGATCACAGACTACATACTTTCAAAACATGAGTACACCTGTCTTAGCCCAGACTGACATACACTCATTTCCCTATTAAATATATACAAATATAAAATAAATATATAAATACAAAAGAAAATACAGTAGAATGTGGCTTTTCCATGACACTAGAAACCTGTGAAAGTTTAGGGTAAAAGATATGTGAGCAGGCTCGGCGCCTGTGGCTCAAGTGGCTAAGGCACCAGCCACGTACACCCAAGGTGGCAGGTTCAAATCCAGCCCAGGCCGCCAAACAACAATGACGGCTGCAACCAAAAAAAAATAGCCGGGCATTGTGGCGGGCACCTGTGGTCCCAGCTACTTGGGAGGCGGAGGCAGGAGACTTGCTTGAGCCCAGGAGCTGGAGATTGCTGTGAGCTGTGAAGCCACAGCACTCTACCCAGGGGGACAGCTGGAGGCTCCTATCTCAAAAAAAAAAAAAAAGATATTTGAGCAAAATTAAAAGAATTAGGTGACCAATTACTCAAACTATCTAAAATTTGTGAATAGGAGATGAGGTAGTAACTTACTGAATAAAATGTTATTATCTCCTTTAGTCTTAACTATTTTTCATCTTAGTCTTAAAAATTAAGATACCATGAAACTCATCCAATCTGAACCACCTTCCAATTGGCATACAATGGTACTGTCTTAATAGCTCTAAAAATGGCATGACAAGAAATGACACCTCTAACTAAAAGAGACTAGCTTTGATAAAGGGAAGGTGGAATAAAAACTATTATCTAGTTAACTGAAAGATTGCTAAGACATTCTAATTGACCATCAGTAAGTAATACAGGACATTAACTAAAGCAAAGGCATAAGGATTTCGTTAAACATAAGGATGGATCAGAACTACAATTAAAAGTTCACTCGCGTCAGGTAAGAAAAACGGCTGAGGGAGGGTTACAAATACCTGACACTGAAGTGGCTGGCTATGTGCAGATTACACATGAAGGACCAGGCACTATTTTGGGCACATCACCTGAAGACAACCCTAGGAGCTCATGGTGATGTTATTATTCCCATTTTTCTTTTCTTTTTTCTTTGTTTTAGAGACAGGGTCTCACATAAGTGTTACAACCCCTCAAGATGCATAACTAATAAATGGTACGGGCAAGATTTGAGCTGTAATATAAAATGTTTTCTAGGATTTCTACAACATCAGTGTTCCTCTATTTACATTTGTAATACAGTCAGTTTAAAAATGAAATGTGAGCCAGGCACACTGGCTCATGCCTATATTTTTAGCACTTTAGGAGGCTAGCTGGGTGTTTTGAGACCACCCTGGGCAATAGTGAGACACCATCTCTACCAAAAAAAAAAAAATTAGCCATATATGGTGGCAAGTGCCTGTAGTCCCAGCCACACAGGAGAATGAGGCAAGGGGATCCAAAGCTCAGGAATTTCAAATTACAATAAGCTATAATGATGCCACTGCAGTTTAGCCCTGGTAATAAGGCAAGACCTTGTCTTAAATAAAAATGTAAATGTAGGCCAGGTCTGTTCTTAATGCAGATAGTTAACAGATATTAGTTTATGGTATAATAACTAATTGTAAAGAAAACACTTGTTGGGCGGTGCCTGTGGCTCAGTGAGTAGGGAGTCAGCCCCATATACCGAGGTTGGCGCGTTCAAACCCGGCCCCAGCCAAACTGCAACAAAAAAAATAGCCAGGTGTTGTGGCAGGCGCCTCTAGTCCCAGCTATTCAGGAGCCTGAAGCAAGAGAATTGCCTAACCCCAAGAGATGGAGGTTGCTGTGAGCTGTGACGCCACAACACTCTACCAAGGGTGGTAAAGTGAGACTCTTGTCTCAAAAAAAAAAAAAAGAAAGAAAAGAAAACACTTGTTATGCCAGAAAAATACCCTAAAATATTAAATCGGTATCACTGCCTAATGCTAAAACTGGATCTGAGTTTGGAAAATTATATTAAAGAACTAGCTCAGCCAGCTACAGTAATAAGTTTTGTGTTAATTACATCTATAAAAAGAAAATCTATATTTGAATTATATTTTTCAAAATCAATTCACACCTAAATTCCAAACAGGAAGGTATAAGCTAAAGGGAGAATAAAGCATGTTTTCTGTTTTCTTCTAATTAATAAGCATAGATAGTTTAATTTGATTTCTGAAAAGTAATTATGTCCTGAAGTCTTTACATCATTCTATATTCAGTATGAATCACTCAAGTTCTCCTGTATCTAATACCTAAGGAAAAAACACCCACGGAGTCCCTGACTACAAAAATTTTAGAGTAGTCTTCTCACTTTCACACAGAACCAGTATCCCTCAGCTTAAGCTCTAGGACCATTTAAACAACTTAAGTACTGCTTAGCCACATTCCACCCAACTATGAACTACTACACTTGAATAAATGGTAACAAAACTAGGGATTTCTATACATTATGGCCAACCGCCATTTTTAATGAAATGAATCGTGGAAGTGTGAGGTTCTTCCACTTTAACAACTTGATACAAAACTAAGACATACTTATCTGTAATCCAAACAGCATCACTGAAGCAACGGTGGACAGGACAATGGCTGCTGCTGCAGAAAACCCTTTCATGATGTTGTCTGTGTACTTAACCACAACAGAAGTATAGAGGCCTCCAACACTTGCCAGAACTTGTATACAGAAAGAAGTAAAATTTTAACACTCAAATAAATGAAACATTCTATAGTGATAAGGCAGTTTTCATCCCCAGAGATGCCACACTAATTTACCTAGGAAAAGGAAAATACTATTTTCCTTAGAAGTAGTCATCAGAGTTTATGCTAAAATGGAATAATAACTGTTTTTCCAAAACAATGCCGAAAGGGCTATGTGGTCTGCTACTAAATGGTATATATTTATTGATAACACATTAGATACTTTTGTGGCAAAGCTATCCCAAAGTAGTTTGCCTTCTCAATCAAAAGAAAGTCAATAAAACCAAAATTACATTTTCAAACTGGTATTCACAGAATCAAAGGAGTAATTTCAACAATGCTTAAAATGGCTTAAAATGGCTATCTAATGTAAGAAAAAACGCTCTACACAGAACCTTTAATTCCTAGATACTTACAGATGACAAACCAGACATAATACGTGTAACCATAGAAAAATCCTTTTTCTTTAATTTCAGCTCCATCTGACAAGTAGACGACAGCTAATGTCACAATAATCCCTGATAGATACATTTGGATGTTTCTCACCCAGAGAGAAGTATCTGAGCTCTTTAAAACTTTCTCAAAATATACACCTGAAAGAAAATTAGAAATGCAAATAAGATCATTATAAGTTAATTAAAAATGTTTTGCATTCAGAATGCCCCAGGGGTAAAGTATGATTTGGGGAACAAACATACTTTACATTAATTAAATGTGCATTTATTATGTAGGTTGTAACACATAGCACACTGAAGGTTACTAGTTTGCATTTTTACAGAGTATACATAGATTAATAACTAAGTGGGAGCTTTATAAGCTGCATTTGACAAGAGACTGTTAATTTAAGTATAGTTTCTGCTTTTATTATAGCAGTAAGATCACAAAAGCTTTCTATTACACTTCATACCAATAAATAGCCTGCTGTGGTCAGCTGAAAATCTAGAGCAAATTATCTTAATTAGAGCAAATTATCTTAATCACATTCCTGTAACATCTGCCCAGTAATGAATACTCGGAAGTTTGCAAAATAACCTATATAATCACCACTTGGAATTTGTTCAGAGTAATGCAAAATAAATTTCAATAGAATTTGCTGAATTTTCCTTAAGGCAGGGTTCCACGAGCCAAGTTCATCCATACACACTGTCAGGAGGACCATGAACTCCCCAGCTAAATAATAAACTTTGTATGTACATTTCTCTGGGGTTGAGCATCCATAAAAATTTTTTTTAAGTAGTACATGACACCCTCACCCCATGTTTAGCAAGGACAGTAAAGATTTTAACTATAAACATCATCCATGTTAGACACTTTTGCCACTCAAGTACTCATGAATTAAAAAGTCTAAATGAGGCTCGGCGCCTATAGCTCAACCGGCTAAGGCGCCAGCCACATACACCTAAGGTGGCGGGTTCGAATCCCCAGCCCAGACCCGCCAAACAACACTGATGGCTGCAACCAAAAAAAATAGCCAGGCATTGTGGCAGGCGCCTGTGGTCCCAGCTACTTGGGAGGCTGAGGCAAGAGACTCGCTTGAGCCCAGGAGTTGGAGGTTGCTGTGAGCTGTAATGCCACGGCACTCTACCCAGGGGGACAGCTTGAGGCTCTGTCTCAAAAAAAAAAAAAAAAAAAAAAAAAGTCTAAATGAAAAGCAAGATTGTTTTCGATGAATCTCTATTAGAGCCAAAGAATGCAAACAAACGTAAAATAGTTATTCTTATCTCTACCTTTGATTTTACCATCTGGGAAAACCGTTTAAGTATTCAGTGCTAAGTTAGTTATCTAACCACCCACAGTTTTCTCAACTGTGTACTAAATGGCTGGACTAAATATGTATAATGATGGATAAAAGCATGTAACTGTTCAAAAATATTTTTTTAAATCAAATAGTATATTATTTGGGGGATAACTCAATTTTTGTTTCTAATTTTTGCTATCTATCTAAATTTAGATTTCTCCCTCTCATTTATAAGCAATATGTTACTTCCCTATCAGTCTACTTTCTAGTAAAAAATAAATAGTCCTAACTTAAAATCGGCATAAATAAATAATAAAGACATACTAGCAACTAGTATATTATTTACTAAAAAGAGCTTTAAGTTTCTCTTTGTTGGGACTGTTTTTAAACCACATTTCTTATGTTACACTTTACCTTTACACTTCATCTTGATTCACTGAAGGAGTGCCTATCTTTACATGCTTAAATCCAGACTTCCATGTCTTTTTGATACCGGCAACTCTGTATTGCCTTCCCTCCCTTTTTGGCTATTAGTTTTATGAATTAGGTGTTCTAAAGTACTTCCCAGACACCTCTTCTTACTACTCCAAAGCGTCTAACCTGTTACGGCAGAGGAGGATCTTGACAGTATAGGGAAGAGTGGACACTGAGCTGGTAACATTAACAGCCTAGAGCAGCAGCATCTGCCGGAGGACAGTACCAGTTCCAGAATAATGCAAAGAGGTACTTAAACTCTGAAAAATTATTTCCATTTTTGGAGATTGTTCTTCATTTACTTTCACTTTCTTGCCTGGTCTAAGGTGGTCAAGGGTAACAGAAGTACAATCTTAGATAACTGCAAGTTGAACTGGGACTGGAGTCTGAACTGGAGTAGACAATGCTGCACTTACTGGAAAAGCAGCTGATATAAAACTAAATATATACAAGGACATAAACCTTTCTAATGAAAATAAAATGATAAAGCAAGATAAACTTGATCTGTATTTAAAGTGTGTTTTTTAAAAAATATGACAATAGAATAAAATGATGCTTTTATGATTTACCTGCAAATCCTGAGCACAATACAGCAATCGCTATAGCACCAAACCCTAATAACGGATTCTGCTCCACCTGCAATATTAATTTTTTAAAGGTTTTTATTGACTAATAGAATGCATCCAAGAATCTAAACAAATGAATATTAAAATCTGTGTTATAGCTTTTAGAAGCATGTGACCAAACAAAACAAAAAGACCATTTCAGAAATTAAGCAAAGCTGGCTCAGTGGATACGGCACTGGCCACATACACCCAGGTTGGTGGGTTGGAACCTGGCCTGGGCCAGGTAAACAGCAATGACACCTGCAACAGAAAAATAGCCAGGCATTGGGCAGCACCTGTGGGTCTAAGGAGTAGGGCACTAATTCCATATAATGGAGGTGGTGGGTTCAAATACGGCCCCGGCCCAAAAAAAAAAAGCCAGGCGGGCTAGTTGTGGCGGGCGCCTGTAGTCCCAGCTACTTGGGAGGCTGAGGCAAAAGAATCACTTAAGGCCAAGAGTTTGAGTTTGCTGTGAGCTGTGATACCACAGCACTCTACTGAGGGCATCATAGTAAGACTCTATCTCAAAAAAAAAAAAAAGAAAGAAATTAACCAAAGCACTTAAATTACCTTAAAAATGTGCCCCTCAAACCACAGGCTTAGTGTATGCTTAAAAACATGTACATGAAACATGTACATAAACACTCTCACAGAGAGCTTTGCATGGTCAGCCTGCTTCTTAATTTTAATTTCTGCCACTATCCTAAACTCAAGCCTTTACAGAATCCAACCTGGAAATAGTAACAGTTTAACTTACTTATTCCCTATCACCTACACACTTACGTTCTGGCTTCTAAGACTCCCCACTTCATTCAATTTTTATCAAATACTTGTAGTGTACCATCTATATACCAGATACATTATATGCTGCTATGGTTTAAATGTCTTCTCCAAAACTGGGATTGAGGTTTAACTGCCATAGTAACAGTATTAAAGGGTAGGGTTTTTAAGAGGTGATTGTGTCATGAGCACTCATGAAGGGATTAATGCCCCTATCAAAAGAATCCGTTATTGAAGGAGTGGGCTCTTGATAAAAAATATGAGTTCTGCCACTTTCTTCTGTATCTTGTGGGCTCATGTCCACCTTCCACCACAGGATGACCCTCACTGGATGCCAGGACCATGCTCCTCGACTTCACACCATAAACTTCTGTTTTGTATAAACTACCCAACTGTAGTATTCTGTTACAGCAACACAAAATGATCTAAGACACATACTAAATGCATACAGAGGATAATAGACTGCTCTAGTTCTCCACATATGGAAGAAACTGGCAAGTATACAGAAGCACAGAACTGGGACACAGATGCTAAGGGATGCACACATGGGCCCAGCCTCCTGTCTGAGCTCTCCTGAGAGATGTGTTACTTCAGTATCAGTGTGCATCAATTGAGACTCACAACTGCACTTTATACCTTGTTCAAAATAAATAAACCTGATGAAAGGAGGGTACTACTTTATGGTAAGTACCTGAGAGGGGAATTTTGTTCTAAAATGTTTGCATGAAGGTAAGAGGAGAAACAGAAGATATTATAGTATGTTCTCAAAACTATCCAGCTCTCCCCCAGAATTACTGTATCATAAGTTATAAGGATGGGTCCAGCAATACATTTAAATTTCAGCTGATTCTAACGTACACAAATGAGAACCACTACTGTAAATTACAAACGACTGACATGGATACTTGCCTATTACAATTTTCAAGACTGACACAGATATAACAAGAAAATTGCAACATGAGACCTCACCTATCCCTACATCTGCTAGGAAGCTCAAACTGCTAAATAGAGAGTATCAATAAATTGTTGAATTGCTTTCCTGCCAATTTAATCCCTCTGCAATTAGGAAAAACTGTGATGGAAACTGGTTCTCTGACGAAAAACTGCTGGAAAGGGGCTGCACGCAGTGGCTTCCAGGTGTAATCCTACCACACTGGGAGGCTGAGACAAGAGGATTGCTTGAGTCAAGGAGACTGAGGTTGCTATGAGTGAGGATGCCATGGCACACTACCCAGGGTGACAGAGTAAGATTCTGTCTCCAAAAAAAAACCCAAAAAACCAAACTGCCAGGTAATGAAGTGAAAGTGATAAAAACTTGGTAATGCAACCACATCATCTTAGCATGAGAAACTAACAGCCAGACGCTGCACAGTTAAAAGGTAGTGATATGCTCCAGTCCTGGATAAATCAAATATGTAAAACTTTAAGTTAGAATTCCATGATTTATGCCAGGATGGTTCAAGAGGGATTAAGAGGAACAGAAGATTATGAGGTTCAGATGAGGAGTAAAAGAATACATAAACCAACATGACTAATAAGGCCATCTTCACCGAATTCTGATTTTACAGGAACTAAAAAACTGAAGTGCAGACCACTAGAAGATTCTAACCAGGAATTTAAGAATAGTAGCAAGATGGAGAATCCTCAAAGAACTCAAACTAGACCCCCTATTTGATCCTGCAATCCATTACTGGGCATCTACCCATAAAAAACAAAATTCATTTTATCATAAGGACATACTAGACTGTTTATCACAGCTCAATTTACAATCACCAAAATGTGGAATCAGCCTAAATGCCCACCAACTCAGGAATGGATTAACAAGCTGTGGTATATTTATACCATGGAATACTATTCAGCCACTAAAAAAGATGGAGACTTTACATCTTTGGTACTAACCTGGATGGAGGTGGAGAAGCAAGAATCCAATGTATAGCTCAGCACCCATAGCATAGCGGTTATGGCACCAGCCACATACCCCGAGGATGGCAGGTTTAAACCCAGCCCAGGCCAGCTAAACAACAATGACAACTGCAACAAAAAAATAGTTGGGCATTGTGGTGGACACCTGTAGTCCCAGCTACTCCGGAGGCTGAGGCAAGAGAATC